TTCACAGGTTCTACTGCTGTGGCTCCCAACCTTCCTAATGCTGCAAGTTCCTCACGGTGTGGGGACCCTCGACCATAACATTTCTATTGCCACTCCCTAACTGCGGGTTTGCTACTATGATGAATGCAAATGTAAATACCCGTGTCTTCTGGTGGTCTTAGATGACCCCTATTAAAGGGTCACTCGGCCCCAAATGGGTTGTGCCCCACAGGTTGAGAACCACCGCCCCAGTCACCTAGGAGGCAGGGTCCTTGGGGCAGCTATGAGAGATGATTTAGTCTCCAGGTGTGCATGTGAGGACTGTGTGGGTTGGGCTGAGTGAAGCAGGAAGGACCCACACTGGAAGGGTCAGCCCCTGCAATCACCTACGGTCCCTGACCTAGGAGCCGAAACTACCCCAACCTTTGCCAGAACATTTCATCACAGCAACTGGAAAAGAGCTAAGACCGGGTAGAAAGTGGAATCATTTTTTTTTAAAATCACTTTTTTTATCAGTGGATTTTTAACACGTAAAATTTTAATTGACAAATCATTGTCTTGTCTAGTCCCCAACCCTAATCCCAGTGCAGAGAACACGTTCAGGACCTCCCCAGAGAGATCCCTTGCATAAAAAGGCCTGGAATTTCCCTAGGATTTGTGCCCATCTGCATGAAAACTTTCTATTATTTACATTTTTTTAAAAAAATTATTTATGTGTCTGTATATGGATGTTTTGTTTGCATGTATGTCTCTACACTAGATACATGCCTGGTATCCACACAGGCCAGCAGAGGGCGTCAGAGCCCCTGGAATTAGAGTTACAGTTGGTTGGGAGCCACCATCTGGGTGCTGTAAATGGAACCAGGTCCTCTGGAAGAGCAGAGTGCTCTTTTTTTAAAATTTATTTTTTTAATATTTTTATTTAGATAACATTTTTTTTTCATTTATTTTACATACCAGTTTCCCCTCCCTTCTCTCCTCCTGTCCCCTCCCTTTTCCCATCTATACCCCCTCCCCACATCCACTCCTCCTCCATCTCCATTCTGAAAGGTACAGGCGTCCCATGAGCTGCACAAAGCATGGCACATCAAGTTGAGGCAGAACCAAGCTCCTCCTCTTAGCATCATTGTCGAGGTGGGGTGAGGTAATCCAACATGGGCAACAGGTTACCAAAAGCCAGCTAAGCACCAGGCAGAGGTCCTGCTCCCACTGTTAGGAGCCTTACTAAGAGAGAGACCAAGTTACACAATTGTCACACACATGCAGAGGGCCTAGGTCGGTCCCATGCAGGCTCCCTAACTGCTGGTCCAGTGTCCATGAGCTCAGGTCAGCTGCCTCTGTGGGTTCCCCCACCATGACACCCTTGACCCTTAAAATCTCTCCTCCCTTTCTTTAAAAAGACTCTTGGATCTCAGCTTGTGGGTCTGGGTCTCTGCTTCCATCAGTTACTGGACAGGGTATCTCTGATGGCAATTAGGGAAATCACTAACCTGCTAACAGTAGATGGCCAGTTCAGGCACCCTTTCCACTTAGTTGGGGGTCATCGTTGTTTAAGTTCCTGGCACCAGGTTTCTCCCTACCTCTAAAATGCCTCCCCCAATCAAGACATCTCTTTTGCAACAAGGACACTTGCTCAACTATGTTCATAGTAGCATTATTCTTCATAGCCAGAACCTGGAAAGAACCTAGATGCCCCTCAGCTGAAGACCGGATACGGAAAATGTGCTAATTTACACAATGGAGTACTACTCAGCTGTAAAAAACAGTGACCTCATGAAATTTGCAGGCAAATGGACAGAACTAGGGGGGAAAAATCATTCTGAGTGAGGTAACCCATACCCAGCACCCACTCATAGGTGGGCTTTTAGGAGTAAGGTGCAGGATAACCAGCCTACAATCCACAGCCCCAGAGAGGCTAGGTAACAAGCAAGGCCCAAAGAGGGCTGCATGGATTTCCCTGGGAAGATGAAGGAGAAAAGATCTGGGGAACTGGGGTTGGGGGATGGAGTGAAGGGAACTAGAGGGGAGGGGGTTTGATGGGCTGGGTGCAGGATGCAGGTTGGAGGCAGGATGGAGGCAGAGGGTAACAAGAGGGTGCTCTTAACTACGGAGCCACCTCTCCAGGCTCCAATAATAGAACATTACAATACCTCACCCTGGAAAAAGCTAAGAAAACAGTTGTTATCCTGTACTGTTTGGGGAGTGAGATGGAAAAGGGCTTTCTTGTAGGCAGTTACTTGACAGCAATACTCCACATCCCTAGAGAAGCCACCCCAAACTAGCCACCCGTGTCAACCCAAACCTCCCACACACCCAATGAACATTTCTTATGCTCAATAAAACGCCATTTTCACAACATAAATGTCACATTATAAAATATGCATATGATTAAAATGTCTACCTTACCTTTCTTTCCACAGGATTTCACAAAATATGAGTTATGGAAAAAGACTCCATTGCTGAAAAGGTTTCCAACAAAACCGAAGCCTCCCAGCTTGGAAATGTGCCTGAGGCTAGACAGACGCGCATGCGCATGCGCAGAGCTGTGAGTATACGCAGCTGCCTCTGCTGGGCTGCTCCAGCAGCCTGCTGCAAACAATATACCTTCCCCTGCACTGCATTTAGCTTTTATTTTTTTTTTTTAAATAACCTTCAGAATGGAGGCAGCTGTCTCAAGGATGCTTCCATAGCAATCAAATAAGGCATAAGTGAAACATGCAATCTCTTTATAAATGCAACAACTGACAAGATCCTGTCAAAATGCTGCCAATTTCAAGCTTCCACTGTCAGATGCGGACGGCACTCTGGCAGCAAACTACTGTCTACTTGTCACCCAGACCTCGGAAGTGAGGGGCATCTCATTTACTTACAAACTGAAATTAGAATTTTTCTGTATTCTTTTCCGTTCCCACTAGTATAACTTGTTTTTTAAAGTTGTTTTTCGGACAAGGTCTCACGTAGCCCAGGCTCGTCTTGAACTCATTATGTAGCTAGGAATAACGCTGGGCTTCCGATCCGCTTGCCTCCACTTCCCAAGCTCTAGGATTACAGGGATGCACTGACATGCCTACTTGTATGCGGTGCTGAGGATGGGAGCCAGGGCTTCCTGCATGCTAGGCAAGCACAGTATCACCTGAGCCCTAACCAGATTCTCCAAGAGCAACAGATACGAGCCAGTACATTCAAAAGCAGCATCAGAAAAATAGCAAGCATGATGCTGTTGCCTAGGATACAGCTGTTACCTCCTAAGTCTTCCACAGGTTAACTGAGACCACCGTGACTCAGGTCACACCGCCGCACTTCCGTAGCACTCCTCTATGTCCACAGCACCCACTACCTTCACTTCCCTCCACCAACACATTTCATCACATAATCTAACTAATCCATTCAATGGCAGGTGACAAAAGCTAATGTTCGTTAATAGAAACTTCATACAGCCAGTGACAAAAAGTGCAAAAGAGGAGAGAGTTTATACAACTTATAAAATGACCCCAAATCTATGATGTTCCAACTCAGAGTAACCAAAGAAATCTAAAATTACCATTTTTGTCCCAAGACTGGCTGAGCTTTAAAAGAACCAAATGAAGATGTCTCCCTGCTCTCAGGATCTTATTTGATGTTAAAACAGGAATTGCAGTCTCACTGGAGATCAGGTACAATTTAAATACTGAAACAAATGGAAATTTTCAATAAAACCACTAAAAAAGTCAAAGGACCCATTAGGACCGACAGCTGTAAAGAGGCCCACGACTTGGCTGTTGTGTTAGGAGCCGGCATCGGGTTTTATTCTCTGCAAACATCGGAGGGGACAGTCTACACTGCTGTTTCTTCAACCGTTGCAAAGGTGAGCGAATGCTCTGTGCTAGTTTGATACGCTGTGAGGGAATTATGACATACTTTGCTGGAGGTGTAGCATGAAGTAGACTGGCCTACCAGGTGAGAGGCTCTAGGTTCAATCCCAGAACTACAAAACCACAAGATAAATAAAAGCTCTGCCCAAGAGCCAAAAACAGATCCTGGCATGCCATTGGTCTTGTGGGGAGTTCTGTGTTGCCCGTCATTCTGTTGGTAGATATCCAGTCTTCTTAGCTCCGTTCATTTGAGGCCGTCTTTTGTGTTTTGACACCGCTGGGTTCGCTATACAATTCCTGGATAGAGAGGGTCTATTCAGTAGGTAAAAAAAAGTTTCAGAAAGCAACCAGTGATTCTCAAGATTTAGGACTGATGTCTCAGAGTAGGAGATGGAAGCAAAACAGAAAGGGAAAATTTGGGAACACAGGAAGAGGCAAGGAGCCTCCTCACCATCGAGTTGGGCTGAACTGTAAAGACTACACACACTGAAATAATACTCCTTTTCAGACTAGACGAGAGAAACAGCAAGGAAACAGGCGTAAAGATTTCTCATTTATTGCTTTTTCAGCTGTAAGCATGTAACTTCCGAGACTCTTACAAACATGCTTTCCTATACCGTAGCATAGCAGGGAATCCTGTGACCCCTGCCTCTTAGTCCCAAATCCTAGCCCTGCTCCTTTGACCACGCTATGATCTCACTTCCTAAACCAGGAATGCCTTGAACACTGTCACTTCAGAAGCCACCACACAGCCGTTTGGTTAAAAACACTCCAAGCACCCGCCAACCTACCTCTTGATAAGCTCACATGCACACTTCCCTAAAAACCTTAAATCTTACCACTCCTTGGTGGGGGCAACCTAGTTTTTATTCATGTTTCCTTATACACGTTTGGTATTTTCAACTTTTGTGTTTTCACTTAAACCTAAATTGTAACTTGGAACCCCTGTGGCTTGTGTCATCTGTAAGAAAAGAATATACAATACCAGCTAGGCAGGAGTGCTGGTACCCATCCTCAGTCCCAGCACTCGGGAGGCGGAGGCAGGCAGATCCCATGTGAGTTGGAGACCAGACTGGTCTATATCCAGTGAGTTTCAGAATGGCCATAGCTATGTAGTGAGACCCTGTCTCAGAAAGAAAACAAACAAAAACAAAAGCCAAGAACATGCGATGCCATAGAAAACATGTATCATTTATTACATGGACTTAGAAATCAACACAAATCAATGGTCAGGCACTTCTTAAGTACACACTATGAGAAATCTCTACCAAAGAAAGATCCACACATTGAGCAGGCAACACCAAAGAGACTCACTCTTCCATTTTAGGAACAGTACAGAGTTAGAGAATTGAAAAGATGAAATATTGCATAATTAGCCCAACTGTATCCTGTTATATTTCTTCCCAGTTTCACTTCTCTGCTTTCCCTTACTCTTCCGTCAGGGTCTTCATCGACTGCACCTGCTCTGAGGAACGTGGCACATACGCTTTATTTTAAGTAGCATCTTGCATCTTTACTTTCTATTACATCTGATTCTACAGAAACACAGAATGGCTGATTGCTCTTTTCCTTCCTTCTTGATAGTCTCTTGCTATGCAGTCTTGGTGGCTGATACTAGCCCAAGCTGACCTTGTACTCCCAGCAATTCTGTGTCTCGTTCTAGAATGTTGGAATTACAGACTTACACCACCACATATTGCTTATTTTGCTTTTAAAAGCTTGTTTCAGCAAGTTTACTTTGTAATACTAGGTCTCAAATTACAAATTCCTCTAGACATTTAATGCTGATCTTTGCTATTTAAGCACACATGAAGAAAATGGAATGGAGGGCATCTTTTTCGGCTGTCTTCAGGCTCAACCCTAATTACAGTTTGATTTTTGTCATCCTTTCCCATCTTATGCTGGCTGAACCTGGTGTTCTCCAAAACATCACCATTCTTGTTGATCTGAGGATAATGTGAATGTGACAATGGCCTTTAGTCCTAATTCACATAGATCAAAGATCAGAAACTATGTATTTTTCCTTTCTTTCTGAATTTAGCTGTCAGTATAAGAGGTTAATATTAAGTAGAACTAAATATAGAATAACATATGATTCCTCTACTAGTTAGTATCCATATACCATAATCTGAATCTGGCCTCCTGATAGAATCTCTGATGATGCAAAGGTCCAGAGTAGTGTATCAAGTCACTGGCGGGAGGGCAGACAGAACAAAAGTGGTTACTGAAAACCTACTGGTCTGGGAATAATGGTTATGGGCAAAGTTTAGAATACCGTTACAGGAAAAAGAGCCACCTTCACTGGTGGTGAGCAAGCACCAAGACAGCAAGGATGAGCCGAGAATGGAAGCTGCTCCTGAACAAGTGTTTGGAGAACAGATGCAGTCAAATGTGACGTAAAGAAACCCTCTCTACGTTGTCTTGAAAGTGAGACGATACCAGGATACCAAGGGCAATTAGAAGATCCCAAAGTTCACATACGATCTGATTGCTGTTACCCCCTATTAACAAAGTAGAACAGACTACAGATGCATTCCTAAAAATGCCTGCAGAGAAAACTAGACAGCTGTCTATGATTTTTCTATTTACACTAATATAAACAGATTTTGAGGTTGTCTGTACTGTATGTGATTGCTGTAGCTACAGCAAGAAATATAAAGTGCCTGGAAGAGAGGACCAACACCATCCCTCTTCTCGGCAACTTAATACTACACACTCAGACAAAAGGAAAAGACACCTTAGGGACCTCCTGCCTCTTCTCAAGCTCCCCGCACTTAGCTGACTTCTGTGACTACCTACGAGGCACTTCTCCAAGGCCAGGAAAGCAACTCTTATTCCTTCTCTGACATGCCACATTACCTAAGACTAGGTTTGCCAATCAGCGCTAATGCACCTTTTATTCTTAAGGCAAAATGTCACAAGAAAATGAACACTCATTCCCCGCTGCCCCGCCCACTTGCCTTCTCAGTATTCTGTCTACCATGATGGCCAAGGGGTGCTAGAAATACAAGGGAAACTGAGCTTTTAAAATAAAACTCTCAATATAATGGGAAACACACATTTTATAAATTTTATGACAAAATCAAATATATTCAAATGATTTATCTTATGGCCACTTTTACCAAGATAGCAAGAGAAGTTAAACAACTTTTAAAATTAGTATCAAAACAGGACACTAAAATCTATCCACATGTACAGAGGTATAAATCTTTGTTCTTTTCAAAGCTGAGCACAGTGAGGTTAAATGAGATGTTTGCTCACACCCGGAAGTCGCACGTTACCATCTGGAACTAGGACTTGCTGAGGTCCGCCCCACGACGTGTAAACTGCCAGCATGAGATCAAGGGCTGCTCCACCATATTCAGGCCTAATACTGTTTGACCGCTTTGATATTTTTATATATTAAATCTTTTTACTCAGTCATAATTTTGCTGTTATATACAAGTACACAGGCATCACATTGTTTGATGCTTAGATTAAAAAGGCTAAAAAAAAAAAAAAAACCAAAACCTCCTATTTTGTAAGTGGTAAAGTTTTATGCTTTTTTATAACATGTCAATAGCTGACTATACTACACCAACATTAACAATGGAGTAAACACTTTAAACAGCCGATCAAGAATAAATTTTTGCCCATATCTGGCCACGCCAGTATGTGCTGGTATGTGCCGAATTGATGCAACAGCGACCCGGCAACTATGCACATGATCATTCAAATTAGAACATAGAAAGCTAAAAAGCTGTAGGTCCGGGCTTGGGAGGGGTGGGTGGGGCTACACTAGATGCTATTTCCCTTTGACAAAACTAGAAAGTAAGTTTGAGAAAGTATGAAAATGTGTGAGCGGAACTCGGCACACAGAGCCTGGTGGCTGGAGGCTGTGACTTCCTAGGCGCAGGTACGCAGACAGCAGATGCCGAGAGCCGAAACAGACCTCCACACGGCACCCGTCAATGCTCACCTGAGCCCCATGGGATGGACGTTAAGTGTCTTAACACTTTACTGATTTTTCAAATTTTCACCAATGTGTACAATGTAGATGCCTATTTCTTACCAAAATCTTTAGGAAATTTTTAAGTCTGAGACTTAAAATCAGTTAAATTTTTTTTGAATATTCAGCCTAAATTTTGACAGTCTTGACTAAGTTTCAAATTCCTAGGCCACAAAAGGAATATAGAGTCACCAACATATGTTAAAACACATGAAAATTTAGTGTATAGTTATGACAGAAATACCGTCAACTTTTGGATAAATTAAAAAAATTGGAAATATAAAAGGAGTTTTGGGTCAAATTACTTCTAGTATAAATAATGTAACATGCCAAATTTTCAATCAAATTCTTGAAAGCACTCAGTATTTGGACTTCGAAACTATTAAGCAAGGTATTTTATGCAGGGGAAGAACATGTAAGAAAACCTACAGAAACAAATCTGCAACTGAGAAATTATCAATGTTCACTGAAAACTGCCTTATGTTTACTCTCAAATTCATTTGAGGTTTGTTGTATATTTAATACCGAAAAAGGCTGCGCTTAATTCTATTTATAGAATGTTACCTCTGGGTAGATATATTTCACACCATGATTTCCAATTAAAAATTATCTGATAGTTTTAATCACAATTTCTGACTGACTGACTGACGAGTGGCTGAGCTGGCATAAGGAACAACAGAAGGGAAAGTCTGGCAATCGCTCACCACGCAATTCTGCCCTCGCAAACCTGGCCAAGAGTTGAGCAGACACTCCACTTACTTGCGCTAAGTTTTCCCATCTCTGTTACTGACAACAAAAGTTACTATACAATGTCAAGCTTTTTCCTGCCTTTTTTCCTTTTTTTTAAAAAAAGAAGCAGCTCAACAATTGTGGGTCAGGGCTGGCTTGTTAGGACAGGACAAAGAACGGAGCGCTCACTACAAGACGACACTGGGGTACTAACTAAGGTTATTAGTTGTGTTATTTGCTTCAAAACACAAATCAAAGCCATTAAACTGAACTTGAGGTATATACACAATACATATTCAACTTTAAGCAAAATACTTTCCATAATATGTTTTTTAAAACTGGAAACAGTATCTGTGCTGATTTGTAGTTGATTCAATGTAATGAGAAGGGAACATTCAACTTGGGGTGGGGAGGGTAAGTCACGCTGACAATAAAGCTCTATAATTCAACCGTCTTCCTCTCTCGTGTTACTCGACACAGCTACTCATATCCTGGGAGGATCCATCATGAGAAAATCAGTCACAGCTTTGAAGCATTTTGGAAGGAATTGAGAGCAAACTGGGTAGTGATATTTCATCCTTGTTTTCAAATAATTTTTCTTCTTATAGAAAATTTTTTTAAATCAGTTTATTATAAATATATCTGAACCGTTTTTGTTTTTTCAGCTCTCAGGTAAAGTCCAGCACTTTGTGGATGCAGAGTCCGTGAGAAAAGCTCAGTAGAGATCATCTGATCTTCAGCCGTGACATCATCCACTCAAGACCTTGGCATAATCTGTGAAGACAACAGAAATCATGCGATTAAATTCTGAACTCTGCACTAGCGAACAGCAGACTCTGCTGTTCTGAAGAGTAAGAGCTGTGAGCCGCAGCAATCAGCCCAGAGCCGCTGATGCAGACACACTCGCCAGGCCACACGGCCTCAGGTTTGCTTTCCTACAGGGAACTCGCACGGCCGATGCCCACAGAACCAAAAGTCGTTATATAAATACAAATACATTTAGAAAAACAAGCACAGAGTGCAATGTATCCTAAAAACAAAAATCAGGCAGTAAGCAGATTTTTGTATAAGACTATTCAACAGGAAAGAGTAAAATTTGAATGTCTAGAATCAGCAAAACCCCAAAAATTTTAGAATACTCATATAATGGTGAAACCTTCCCTTTCAAAATATACTCTTGACATAAAAAAAATTGTTCATGGCATAAATGAAATAAAATAATGGGATAGTATACTAAACATATAACAAAGTTCTGAGTACAAAGTATATGTACATAACTATATAAAATATCTGAGGCAATAAAGTATATCATTTTTACTTTTTATTGACCAAGTAACTGAACTAACTTTTGAACTACAGAAAAGGATTATCCTATGACAAGAGAAACTGAATGCCTAGGAAGAAGGAAACAGTCATCAGTGAATCTACAGCAAGCCCCAACACTGTCACAGTATTCTTACAGTGAGCTCTCCAGATATAAAACTGTTACAGTAACCTTTTTTTTTAAAGTTTCAGTTTTTATTATTTACTTACTTGTACGTGTGCACACGTGTGCAGGTGTCCACAGAAGCAAAGAGGGGATGCCACACCCCTGGAGTTGGAGTTACAGTCATGAGACACCTGACATGCTGGGAACGGAACCCTGATCTCTGCAAGAGCAGTATGCTCTCTTATTCACCAAGTCACCTCTCCAGCTCCTATTTTAGCTTTTCTTTAAACTCAAATTATTTTTTTAATCGAGTACAAATGTAAAAATATAAAAGAATACACACACAGCAACAAAGCAAACCGGCGGCTTTGCGAGTGACACTTTTCTCTGTCAGACTCCCACTTTTAAGCTGACAGAAACAGTGCACAATAATAAATGACTTCAAACTGTGAAATGAACAGCAGTTAACTAGAAATAAACGACAGACTGTATTAAGTTCATAACAGCCATTTTAATCTTCCCAACAGTCAGACTGCAGTCCTTCCCAGGGTACACAAGAAATCCTAGCAAGGTTAGCAGAACTGGGGTCAAGCAAGGCCATGCTCCATAGACCATGATCTTCAACCAACTGAATCAAAGTGGTACCCAAATAAAAACATCACTTTATCTACTTCATCTATTGGGTACTCTACGCTTCTGCCCCACACTCAAGACTGCTTTTTATAATCTCAAGTGCCTTTCTGTGCTTTTGAATAGATACAAATCTCCAGACCTTTGAAAAGTAGCAAAAAAATTATTCTTAGGTTTTTCACCCAATTTTCCTTCCTTCCCTTGCCATACTCAGAGTTTCTAGCTGGGCTGTAGAGGTGACTCAGCAGTTCAGAACTTATGCTACTCTCGCGAGGACCCAGATGTGGTTCCCAGCAACCACACGTTATAGGCTACAACTGGCTGTACACCAGTTTCATGGAATCCAATGCATTTTTTAATTATTATTTTGCTTTTATTGAGCTATATATTTTTCTCCACGCCTCTCCCTTCTATCCTCTTTCATGATCTCAACGCTCCCAATTTACTCAGGAGATCTAATCTTTTTCTACTTCCCATGTGGATTAGATCCATGTATGTCTCTCTTAGGGTCCTCTTTGTTGTGTAGGTTAGCTGGGATTTTGAATTGTAGGCTGGTTTTTCTTTGCTTTATGTCTAAAACCTACTTATGAGTGAATACATATAATATTTGTCTTTCTGGGTCTGTGTTACCTCATTCAATATGTTTTCTAGCTCGATCCATTTGCCTGCAAATTTCAAGATGTCATTTTTTTTCTGCTGTGTATACTCCATTGTGTAAAATGTACCACATTTTCCTTATCCATTCTTCAGTTAAGGGGCAGGCATCTAGGTTGTGGCCAAGTTCTGGCTCTTACAATGCTGCCATGAACACAGTTGAGCACATGTCCTTGTGGCACGGCATCCTTTGGATATATACCCAAAAGTGGTATTACTGGGTCTTGAGGAAAGTTGTTTCCTAATTTTCTGAGAAATCTCCATACTGATATCCAAACAGGCTGTACCAGTTTGCACTCCCACTAGCAATAGAGGAGTGTTCCCTTTACCCCACATCCTCCCTGGCATAAGTTGTCATCAATGTTTTTGCTCTTGGCCATTCTTACAAGTGTAAGATAGAATCTCAGAATTGTTTTGATTTGCATTTCTCTAATGGCTAAGGAAATTGAGTATTTCCTTAAGTGCCTTTCAGCCATTTTAGATTTCTCTGTTGAGAGTTCTGTTTAGGTCTGTACCTCATTTTTTTATTTGATTATTTGTTCTTTTGATGACCAGCTTCTTGAGTTCTTTGTATATTTTAGAGATGAGTCTTCTGTCTGATGTGGGGTTAGTAAAGATCTTTTTCCCATTCTGTAGGCTGCCATTTTGTCTAGGTAACTGTGTCCTTTGCTTTACAGAAGCTTTTCAGTTTCAGGAGGTTCCATTTATTAATTGTTGTTCTTAGTGTCTGTGCTATCCAGTGCCTTCTTCTAACCTTTAAGAGTTAATGCATGGACATGGTGCACACATACACAGAAAATATTTTTTTTTTTAAAAAAAGGACTTTCAGATGCTATTCTAAAATCTACTTCCTCTTTAAATTACCACTGACTTCCTTCTGCCTACTTTCCCAAACGCAGATTGAGTCCACTCACTCACTGTTAAATCCAACAGTACCTTTTCCATTTTGCTGGTCCTTGACCACACATCTGACACAGCTCACCACTACTTCCTTCCTAACCACCTCCAGCTCGGGGAGCAAACCTAGGCAGTCACACTCTCCAACACCCCTGATCCCAGGAACAAGGGCTTCCGTGTCACACTGCTCCATTCTCACTCCTAATCCCCACGGGGTAGAAAAAATATTTTCTGGCTTTCCCAGTTCCAGTGATACTGTTATTTCTCTATGCTGCTATAGCAATTGTAGAATCTACATGCCTACCTGTTAGTTCACACATGTATTCTGTGCTGCATCTCTTAACGCACAATCATCCAAAGTCTCTGATTACAGAGACTGACTCCCTTACAGATCTGGGGATTTGATAAAGACATACATGTTTCTGAGCCAAATATATGATACTCATGAGAAGAGATCTTACCCCTCGCCAGTCAGAGCGCAGCACGCTTGGATGTGCCACTGGTGGTCCTTTATAGACGTCAGCTTCAGAAACTGCGAGATCTCTGCTACTGTCATGCATTCTTTAACATCCTGTTTATTGGCAAAAATCAGCAATCCAGCTTTTCTTAGGTCCTGTAAAAGCAAATAAAATATAAAGACTAGAACATTCCCCATATATTTTCAGCTTAGCTGGTTATTTTTCATAATGTTAGCAATCTGGACCATCTTTTTAAAAATTAAATTTCTTTTTGTTCTCACAGGCACCCCCACCCGTCTAGAATTTAAACATTCTACATCTTACAGATTGACAGAAATAAACGGATCTGCGTATGGATTTACATATTTCTCAGTTGTGTGTCTGTGTGCTTGTGTGTGTAGATGTAGTTTATGCACTGTATGTGCAGATCTATGTGGAGGCAAGAGGTAAGTGTTAGATGCTTCACTCTGGAAACGGGACCTCTCAGGATCTGCTTGGACTGGCTGGCGAGAGCCCAGCAATCCTGTGCCCCCAGCCCAGCGCTGGAGCGGCACGTGCTGCTGTGGAAATCAAACTCAGGTTCACATGCTTGAGCGGCAGACATCTGACCAACTGAGCTACCTGGTAGATCCTCACTGCCAACTACTTAGTCTTAAATGACATACTTTATAGCCCTAAGCACTTAACACTGCATTTTCACAAGAAACACCTACTATTCTAATTTAAAACAACAGCAACAACCAACAAACTGCAAACTCCAATGGCTATCCTATTATTGTACCATACATAATGGTATGGTAATAATGTACCATACCATAGGTAGTAGCCATCCTATTATATTGTACCAAACTCTGCCCCTTTACTTCTCACATTTCATTTTCCGCTTTATTAATAATATTGGCTATATACTCTAATACATGTAAGTCATTCGTGTTCTTGTGGTCTTGCTATGCAGTCTATGCTAACTTTAACTCATTATCTTCCTTCCTTGGACTCCAGAGTGCTAGAATTTCAAGTGTGCACCACCACCCGTATCTTCAGTTCTCCAGTTAGCGAGCTATCTACTCTCTGGACAATTTGGGACAGTCTTATCTCAACACTGTCCCAGCTGCTTTTCTTTATGCATCAGCCCTTTTCTTCCTCTCTCCTAAGCAAACCTTTCACAGCCAGGATTCCACAAGAGAATGAACTCCCCAGAAAATGACCACACTGCAAGTTTCCAAAAACTTGTGTAGCTGGCATCAGCTGAACACACAATATATAAATCAATCTACTACGCATCATGTAAGGATAAAGTCTCAGTTTGGAAACACTGTGTGTGTGTGTGTGTGTGTGTGTGTGCGCGTGCGCGCGCACAGTGCCCTCTGCAGGGCAGAGTTGCCTGATTGTTAGAATAGACAAGAACATAGGTTGCTGGTTTTAAGACTGCATATTTAATTAGTTTCAGACATAGTCTGGTCCAAAGACCTAAAAATAAAATGAAGCCTAAAGAGCTAGATCATGAACTGAACATACATAGTAATTATTAAAGATATGATTTTTGATAATCTTATCCTAAATGAAAATTGACTACTATTGATAAGTGGTTATGTGGCTGAGTTAATAAGCAGACTTTCCGTGGGGTTTAGTTTAATTTCTATTCTATGGTCTAGACGTTTTGATATCTCCTGCTAGTGTACATTTAACTCTTTTATACAGGCTACGCTTGCTAATAATGACATGCTCAATATAAAAAATTCTGATATAAGTATTGGCTCAAGTTAAGAAGCATACTCTGTACCATTTTATAGTAATTTAAAGCCATCATTCTTAGTAATAAAATTTAGAGAAGTCCCTAAACTAGAACCATAAAAATTAAGTTATTAAAGAGAGATGGCTCTGCAGGTGAAGCGCCTGCTGTGTCAGCACGAGGGGCGGAGTCCAGAACTCAGAGTGATGGACAGGATGGTGGGCCACCTGTAGTTCTAGTGTGCGTGGGAGGTGGAGCCGGGACTCCTCAGAGGAAGCTGCATAGCCAGGCATGCCCAAAACAGAGGTCCAAGTTCAGCTAGTGATTGCCTCTAGAAAGGTGGAGATGAGTCTAAAAACACCTGACATCAACATCAGGCCCCCCAGCATGTAAACACATACACACACACAAACAGAACAATAAAAATAAATAGAAAGGGTCTCTAAACTAAAACTGTAAGTCCCTTTCTAGATCTCAAAACTCACACTTTAGGAGAATCTCATGTATCTCAGGCTGGCATCAATGGAGTTCTTGATTACTTTAAATGATCACAAGAATAGCAGTCATAAATATTTTTAAATATTTAAAAGGTTGGAGAGTCTTTTCTTTTTATTATATAACCTCAAGACCAAACATAATATGACAATAATAGAAAGCATATTGGATTAAAAGCTATTTATTAAATTGTATTTGTAAACTATCAAAATTTAGGGTAAACAATGGTAATGTTTTGTTCACAAGTTAATTTAAATGTTCTCTACTATACAAATTACAAATCTGAGCTCAAGAATGTGAAATTCCCAGGCCTGATGGTGCAGGCCCATAATCTCACAAATACTGGGAGGCTGAGGCATGCTCACTGCATATTCAAGGTCAGCCTGAGTAACTTAATGAGACACTGGCAAAACCAAACATGATTTTTAAAGACTGGGGGCATAGCTCGGTGGCAGAGTACGTGTCAGACAGGTGGGCCCTGGGTCCAACAGCCCATACAGAAAAAGAAAATTTTCTAACACATCTTTTAGTTTAGTCACACAAACAGCAGCAAATGCAACAAGCATCTACTTCTCTGTCATATACAATATGATCACTTTGTTTCACAAAGCTTCATTTGGGAAGACAACTTCTAGAATTTGAGTCAAAGAAATTTTAGACTTTGCTGTCTGAAACTATTAAAATTAATTATGATTCCCCTCTTTATGCTGTAAACACCATTAATGAATAAAGAAACTATTCTGGACCTATAGCAGGACAGAACTTAGTTAGGCAGAGAAAAGTAAACTGAACGCTGGAAGGAAGAAGGCGGAGTCAGGGAAAAGCCATGGAGCCACAGCTGGAGAAAGACGTGCTGAAACTTTGCTGGTAGGCTACAACCTCGTGGTGATGCACAGATTAATGGAGATGGGTTAAATTAAGATGTAAGAGTTAGCCAATTAAGAAGCTAGAGCTAATGGGCCAATCAATGATTTAAATAATACAGTTTCTGTGATTATTTCAGGTCTGATCTGCTGGGTGGTCAGGAAACAAACAAGCAGCCTTCCTACTATAATTATATTCAGAGTTTAATATTTGTTTTTTATTGTTTCTTTTTTATTTATTTTTATTCATTTCACATACCAAACACAGTTCCTGCTCACCCATAACCCATTCCCCCACCTATTCCACTGAAAGGATAAGACCTCCCATGGGGAGTCAAAGCCTGGCACATTGAGACAGGACCAAGTCCTTTCCCCTACATCAAGGCTGAGCAAGGCATCAATAGGGGTTGGCCTCCAAGAAGCCTGCTAAGTTTAAGATTTCTTATAAGATGAAGCCTTGAGAAGCTGTTCTTGGAGCTCCATGTTTTGGAATGCACTGCAGAGTCATTTTCACATGCCTTTAATCCCAGAATTTGGGAGGTGCAGGCAGGTGGAATTCAAGGCCAGCCTAATTTACAGAATGATTTCCAGACAGCCAGGGTTACACAGAGAAACCCTAAACAACACAAAGATTGTGTAGCAGACCAAAACTAGATAGAGTCCATACTGCTGAAGACAACACATGCTCTGGCTACAGGATATGAAGACAAAAGGAGTTGTTAAAGGGCTTATTCTTGATGGCTGGCTGCTTTCATAGTGCCAGAAGGTATCTCACTGGCTGCTTGGGGAAGGACTGTCACTAGCAATCGTGGTTGGCTGTGGATCCCAAGGTAAATGTGTGCGTATTGGTGTAATAGACTGAATTTAAGGCTCACTTTCTCACATTCAGATTACTCTTGCTGTTGGCCTCAATAGGTAAAGAAAGATTTCTTTGTATTAGGGAGTGTCCTGCAGAGACTCAAAGTCTCTGGTTCACACATTTATTCCAGATACTCAGAGGCAGAGGCAAATGAAATCTCTGTAAGTTTATGACCAGTCAAGGCCTGGACCTCATGCATGCCAGCACTCTACCAGTGACCTATATGCACAGCCCTAACTTACTTAAATTTTGACTACAGTAGTAAAATTAATTAAATTTTGACTTCAAAATCCTACTAGCAGGACTTAGCATAATAATAAGCTAGTGATATAATTTCATTTAGTCAAAGGGAAAAATTTAAAAAACAAAACAAAAATACCTAAGAGCAACTAAGCTTAAATATTAGTTTGATAACAGAACACTCAAGAACTGTTATACATCCAGGTACTTGTGATACACCTGTCAAACTGTCAAATGATAATCCACTGTATAAATAATCTACCCACACAGAAAAGGAAACTACTTGTAGAAATTCCTTTTGCTCAGTGAAGCATCTAAACTAGATTTATCAAAGTTACATATCAATCTATGATTGCCTGCACCATCTTTCTCCTACTTCAAGACACACTTCAAATTTGGGAAATATAATCACAAAACAGGAATGACATACAAACACGACCAAGAGGTTAATATTTTTAGAACTGAAATAATCCTTATGAGGAGCTGCAAAGAGCAGATCAAACACAAAGCCCCCCCCACTGACGCCCACGGCACTCACCTCATGGGCCAGCATTTTGTAGAGCTCTTCTCTAGTTACAGAGATCCTCTCTCTGTCCGTGCTGTCCACAACAACTATTACAAACTAAAATAATCACCAAAAAAAATCATTAGTACTTAGAGAATTTGGTATTTGAAAATCCAAGGTACTTAATTTTATACTTTTACAAAATAAGATACTTATTTAATTACATGATTCTAATATCAAGACACTAAAATCTTCTGTGATGTAAGAGACCCAGGGATGCTTATTATTCACTTTATTAAAGCCTAGGGTTCTGACTCATTTCTAACACCCCCCCCCCCCCGACCCGGAGACCGGGTTTCTGTGTAGCTTTGGAGCCTGTCCCAGAACTGGACCAGACTGGCCTCAAACTCAGAGATTCACCTGTCTCTGCCTTCTGAGTGCGGGGATTAAAGGTGTGCACCACTGGTGCCTAGCACACTTACTCATTTTTAAGGAAAACAAAGGAAAAGAATATGACGCTAACGCTCTAACCAAAATAGAACACTTTTTTCTAAATTACTACATAAATATTAATGAGCCTATATGCCTGTATTTACACCACTACAATGTAATTTAAAACAAACAAACCCCAAACACTTAAAGTCCCACGTTTAAGTTGCTAGAACAAACTGAAAGTATTAACTGGCATCTAAAAACAAGAGCTTCCTTATATCCAGGGCACTGCTATGCAAACACAGCCTGTGCTGAGCGGACGATGAGACCCCACTGCACTCCCAACTCCAAGGGCATCAGGAGGCAAGAGGGAAGCAGAGCAAATGTGTGGTTACTGTACGTACAATGCTCACATTGCCTGTTACTGAAAACACATTTTTTACGTTTTAGAACTTGGTAATAATTTCTAGATGAACCATTGTATATTCTTAGCCTTTTTGCTCTTCAGTTTCCACCAACTGCAAGATTTCATTTGATAGCTTTCTGGCAGAAGACTTTATTATTGTGATACTCATTCTAACAAATAGTATTTTAATAAACCCTTTTCAAAGCTGACACAATTTAATGCCTGGAGCAATCTATATGGGGGGCATTACATATACCTTTACAAGCCATACATCCATTTCCTCCAAACATACGATGGAATGTTAATGGGAGCTGGGGCCAGACCATGAGAGACACTTAGTAGCATCATTAGTGATTTAAATATCATCTTTACATATGTGTAGAATATTTTAAAGATCTTGTCATTCACACCACAAAAACGACTGGTGCGACTTTTCAATTTATAGGCCTACATGATGAATGTGTCATAGGTTTAAATTTTTCTCTTGGAACATTAATATGTAAAGAAAAACATGATTATGTCTAAAATGCTTTATAATCAAGAGGTATCTTTAAGCGCAACTGCACCGAATAAAAGATACACAGGAAAAACTGGCTAGGACTCAAACCACAGAAGAGCCCTTTCACTTGGCTAGGATTTCTTCCACTTAGCCATATATAAATAGTGAGAAGAAAATGCAATCAGAAATCATGAGATGTAAGTCATTATAAAATCAACTACTTCATCAAACAGCCCGATCGATCAACCACCATTCTCCCTATAGAGACTTCCTAGTGAATATGCAGTCAAGGATTTGAAACAAGGAATGGAAGACAAGTAGAGTCCAGCATAGCAGACAATGCTTACACTCTAAAGTCAAAGTACTGTCTTGTTTCTAAAGGACGGTAATGATTCAAATCCAAAAGCTTCTCAAGGACTCAGAATGCTTGTGTAAGCGTCAGCATTGAGAATGTTACCTCAGTGTTAGTATAGTAAGTGTTCCAGGAAGAACGAAGAGACTCTTGACCACCAATGTCCCACATCAGGAAACGGGTGTTATTAACCACGATCTCTTCCACATTACTTCCTATTGTAGGGGATGTATGTACAACTTCATTCATGGAACTAGGAGGGGAAAAGTTCACAAAATCAGTGAAGTAGCTCACTCATCTCAGGATTACATCAAGGGACAAATCAGCATGATTTCTTTCTCTATTTCATACCCAAGTATCCTTTGTCTATGAGCTCAAAATAAATAATGGTTTCAGAATATTACAGATCGTTTCGGCAAACTGTATAATCCACTCTTTTCTTGTTTTCTAAACGCTAGATGCTCAATACAAACAATGAGCATATCAGGTGTCATGTAAACTTCTGGCTCACCACAAACAGTTGTTTAAATCGGTTCCCGGCTTATGGTGAGTCTCTCCTCGGAGACACATTTTTCGATGATTTCATTGATTGAATATCACAAAAGAAGAGTAACCAGAAACAACAAGATTAAACTTTTAAGCGGTTAATACTTACAACTGGTAAAGGATGGTGGTTTTCCCCGCATTATCCAGCCCAACAATGATGACTTTGTGCTCTGAAATAAACAAACCAACAGTGACTTACGACACTCACACACACTCCCCTACTTCACTTCTCTTTGTAATGTCGTATAAGTCGGCACACAGCACTTTCACACTTTCTTAGAATCCAAAGAATATTTCAGCAAGCAAGAAGTGTGGTTAAGCTCACTTTCTCTTCTCTACAGAGACTGCCCACCTTCCAACAACCTCTCCAGGCAGTCGGAAGCACTGTTCTCTCTCGGCCTATGGAAGTCTATGCTCAGCAAAGTATCCCCAAGTGTGATCACAACAAATAGAGATGACTGAAGTCTGTCGCTGAAGCTCCATCTGTGAAAGTTCAGGCATCCCTTGGGTATGTCCATGTGGAGTGCGGAAAAGGAGACAAAGAAGAACCCTTTCTGTGGGTAACTAAATGACGAGTACACTTACCCACAGAACTGTTTGGCAAACAACTTTAAGGCCTGCCAGCTACAGTGAGTGGTAGGAACTCACCCTGGCTTCTGGGCCATCACAGTTCCTAAATTTTCTCCATCTCTTGTGCCTTGTTTTTCTTTTGTTTTCTCTCTAGTTCTCTTTAATTCTATATGTAGCTAACTCTTAATTTTGTGTGGTTTGGGTTTTCATTCTACCATTCTACCAGAGCTACAGCAAAGCGCCTATAATTATTTGCATGTGCACAAATCTAAGCTTAATCAGGTACCCTTCAAACACATGGAACACAATATTTAAATTCCTGGTAACTATAATTCTTCCTGGCAAAAGGTGGGTATTTAATAAGCACTAAATTAATATTCATGCTATGAAGAATCAATGTTGAGGATTCTAACATCAGAGTAAGGAGATCTTTACTATCCAGGCACTTTACAGATCATTACCATCCACCCCAGAAGGGGGATCCTCATGTCATAAAAGGCACAACACCAAGTAATAGAGAAATTGAACTCAATCCAGTTTAACAAGTCAACCACAGGCAGCTTAGCACCTCTGGAGTCCTCAAGTGACATGATGACCCTCCATCACATAGTTTCTCAGCATCCTTTGAAGACCCCAGGGCCTATTACATTTCATACTTGGAGATGACTAGGGTGAAGGCACAGGCTCATAGACAAAGTGACTGACACTTTTTAAAGGTGAAGGGTCAATATATATCTAAAGCACAATATGGAAAAGTCACCAGACTACACCAACTGATAGTACTCTAGGGGGTTTCCATCTCCTGAGTCCACAAACTCAACCCTGCAACCATCTGTGAGTAGACAAACTCAGAGAAAGCAACACACAAAAATGAATACCTCAGAAGAACACGAGCAAGTGCAAGAAAGATAAATGTTTCAAATGAACTTGACAAGCCAGGAACTAGACAAGCACCTTAGGAGGCTAACAGGAAGATCACAAGTTCTAGGCTGGACCAGGCAACATGGTAAGGCACCATCTTAAAAAACAAAACAAACCCAAGTGGCTGACAGGGACAGGCTTCCTCATCCTGGCCTAACACTCAGGAGTCACTCACAGCCAACCTAACTGTTGTTTCTGAGACTTACCGATTTTAGATTTTTAAAAATACTTTACTTTTAGTGTTTTTATAATAAAGCAACAGTGACCAATTTCCTCTGAGGAAAAGCATATTTTATGGTTGAATTAAAATCATAAAACTCTTGAGATGCATGGAACTCCAGCCAAGTCTGTCACAGGCATCATGGCCACGGATGCTGCTTCCCAGAGGGGTCACATCTGCATCAGAATCAGGAAATTCAGCATAGCAGCTAGGGCACCTTTCTTCCAGGTATGCTTCTAACTAGCACAAAACTGCTGAATTTTACTTTTTCCTTGTAAAAGTAAGCATTACACATTTGATGATGTATGCTTTCTTCAGTTCTGTTAATACAAGAACCGACAAAAGTATTAAAACAACAAGGAAATTCCTAATTGAGTACTGACTTTAGTGGAGCCTTCTTGGACTGTGGAGGCACACCTCTAACCACAGCACTGCACAGGCATGGCAGCCGAGTTCCAGGCTAGCACAGTTTACACAGCGTCCCCTAGGCCAACGGCAGCAGAGTAAGACTCAGTTTTAATACAAACTAGAGCCTTTCTAAAATATCAGCTCCATCCTAATTAAGGAATATATTTTGTACTACCCCATGATTAGCTACAGGACAAAATTTGGACAGATTTCCGGTACTCTGAAAGAATACATTTATAATCATCAATGAAAGAAATAAAGTCCTAAAAACATTACAAAATAAATAGAACTGATCCAAAAGTAATACAGAATACAGGAATCTATGGTCCATAACTACAGAATGACTTCAGCACGCATGCGTGTAAACAACATGCCCACGAATGATAAGCACATTATCTATTTTGCACAGCCCTTAATCACCTAAGGAGGCTATGAGCACACACTTCGGCGGTGACAACACTCTTCAAAAGCGGGCCTGAGGTATCTATCGAGCTTTACATTCTCAATGGTGTCGAATCCTTTAACCTCTGAAGACAAATCTGAGTTTTAAAGAGGGTCTCCTTGGTATCATTTTGGTTGGTCATCAGGGAAAATGTAGCTGAAATGAGAGCCAGTTTACTGTTAAATATAGTATGATCCTTGCTTAATAAAGAATCATTTAAAAAATGTCAGTAATGAAATTCTAAATTGAGCTTTAAAAGATAAATTGACTAGGAGACACTGGCAGGAAAACTATCTGGTTCCCTAAAATAGCAGCTTTCACGTCAGAAGCCTCACTCGACTGCACAGTAGTTGTGCTTCTTTCTTTCTGTTTGTGATCTCTGGCTATGCCTTCAGGGACTTATGGCCCGATTCTAAAACCACTGTTTTTCTTAGCTCCTAGAAAGGATTATCTACATCAAAAAATACCTAAGAAAGCTTTTTGGGGACGGGGGTCACACCTGGCCACATGGGAAGGGTGGATCACACCTGGCCACATGGGAAGGGTGGATCACACGTGGCCACATGGGAAGGATAGGTCACACCTGGCCACATGGGAAGGGGCAGTCACACCTAGACACGTACTGAACAGGACAAGTGAGGCAAGAACAATGAACAAAACCACCAAGCAGTAACAGATACTAAGGCAAGGTGAAGGGCAGAACAGGCTGGTAGCATAAGAACTTCATTTTCTCAGGATACCGTCTAAATAAAGGTCAGAGTACCTAGAAATAAAGAAACCAAGGGGTTGGAGCATATGGTGGATGATGCGTTGTGAGAACCCAAATCAGGAGACATAGCGGGAAGCTTTTTAACAGGTAAGATTATCCAGGATGGAATAAACAATCGACCAGACACTAGATCTATCTGGCAAGGAGAACCATTATTTTATAGTCTACAAGATAGGAAATGATAGACGTCCTAACAGGCAAAAGTTGGGGTTGAGTGAAGGCAGAGCAGGAAAGGTAAGAAGGCGACGGAAATACCCAAAGTCAGAGGCCTTCTATGTCCCCTGCAGGTAAAACAGACAGGAGAAAGGAGTTACCCCATTGGGAACCAGGTGAAAGTGAGGAAGGAGTGTGACAGAGGGGGAATGTCTAAATACAAATCTCCTACTTCCTCTCTTGGCTGGCACTAAAATCCAGACAGCTGCTCAGTAGACCTCATCTCCAGATTATCTCATTGATTTTCTATTTAATTTTGCTAACACTATTCTCTACTGTGGAGACAATGCTCTTCTAATTTTACAGAACTATCCAAGTCCTACACCACCACAAATACATAAATACACAGCCCAAATGAGATTTCTAAAACAGCCACAAAGGGAATGTAAGGTAACACAAAAGGTTGTTGTGACATTACAAAAAAGAAGGAACTCAAATCAAACATGTGCAAAACTTAAACTCTCCAAAGAACCACAGACTGTAAAAACCAAACCAAAAATAGCAACACAGCAGTACAACCCAGGGGAGACTCTGTAACCCAGAGGCTCACCCGTTCATGTGGCCTCACATCCACAAGCCAAATTCTCTTCTAACTTGACTAGGGAGGAATGCGCTTACAATAAGGATCAATGAGCATTTAATCAGAGGTCTAGTGTGAGTCACGATGAGAACCGTAGCACCACGTCAGCGCTGTGTAAGAGGCTAAAGGCTGAAGGCGGCAGGCAGCAGTCACAGACCAGCTGAGCCCGCACGATCCAGGAGCAGATCAGGCCTGCTCTCCTCACACCTGCCGCTCTTCACCACACCGCCATCCTCATCAGCAGCCCTAACAGCATTCCACAGCGAACGCAATCCTGGAGTCAGCAGGTGCTAGAATTCTGTCTCATAGTGTGCTTCCGGACAAATACTCCACAGAACCTACAATACAGCATATTAGGAAGTAATGTTACTGAGGACAAGTGTCAATTAGACTTTGGCCATTCCAACTCTTTGGCACCTGTGAGTCACTGCAATTACTGCTTGTGCAAGTCTGCACTTAGAAGGTCTTTCTCACAGTATTCCTGCACCCAGGAAAACCAAACACCACCGCAATATTGCTCTTGACTGGGATTTGGAGTCTGAACCAGTCAATACTGTTTCGTCATAAAAACACTTCTTGTTGTCCATGGGTCCTTCCTCTTTCATTTTCTTTTGACATACCCAGGTAGCTATGCATTATCTAAACCTGCATCTCTCTGACTACCACTGTGCAGATGACAAGTTGTGTCCCAACAGCAAAAGCTGGGACACAGCTGCTCAAGTAGAAGCTCCATTTGCCATGTTCATTCCTGTCCCCCTCAGCCAGCAGAGCCTAAAGCCTAAACATGCGGGCAATGAGGCAGCTTTCAGTGAGCAAAGAAATCAGCCTGGACGCTAACAAGGGTTAGGAAAGCACTGCCTATCAAGCTATCTTGTACTAAAATTCAACTGGGGGACTGAAAAGCATCATAAATTTTATTTTTAAAAGCTGAAAATAAGCTTGCTATTCACAGACCAGTGAGGAAGCTTTGGGAGCAGAGACTTGCTACTAAGAAACTGCTGGGAGGAGGGAAGTAGGGAAGAAATTATAAAACACACAAAATCTAGAAGATAGAAATCCCATAGTAACTGAGGTTGGCAAGTTTGACAAAGAAAATATCTCATACTGATTAAACGACAGACTAGGAAAAAGATAAAACTAATCACTACGCCATGCAAGAGCCAGGTACTAAGGGTAAAGGTGCGTGCGCTCCAATCGGCTTGTCCAGAGAGCACACACCGTCACCAAGAACAGGCATTTCCTCCTGCAGTGTCCCTCCCGGAAGCTTCACTCTGTACAACTGACCAGAGTGCAGACAGGGTGCACCTGGAGCTTAGGGAAGCATCCTGATGAGGCGCAGACTCCCAGGCGAGTTACCTGCTTCTGCACTTGCCTTCACGCCTGACCTGCTTTGGAAAGAGAAGACACCAGGAAGAAATCCTCAACCCCAGATCTAGGCAGAGCGAGCAGCTTTCCCTTTCCCGACACTCCTCCACAACTCCACTCCCTTCCGCCAACTGATAGGAAGGGCCACAGATGGCTGTCAACAGGGAAAGTCCACGGCCTCAGCGTCAGAAAGGTCCTTTCACCCACCATCTCGTGTGTGTGTGTGTGTGTGTGTGTGCGCGCGCGCGCGCATACAGTGGGGATGAGAAATGGTGAGAACACGCTGGCACTAGAGACCCGTGTTTGAAAGCCCAGGCTTATCACTGTAAATAAATAACGCCCTAATGTGGATTTGTAAAGCAGAAAGTTTGGAGAGTAACACAACTGGGGCAGATTAACCAACCCTGCTGAAACACCTGGAACCGGGTGTTGCAAAAGTCACTAATATTACCAGCTGCTAATTTATCTGTAGAGGCAGGCTGAGTTTCTTTCCTGCTGTCCTAGACTACAACAGACACTTCACAAAGGCATGGAGATTTGCCTGTTTTACTCCCTGACTTATTCCCACCACCAGGAGCAGTGGCTCTCAACCTCCCTAACGCTGCGACCCTTTAGTATCAGTTCCACACGCTGTGGTGACCCCTGACCATAAAATTATTTTCGTTGCTACTTCCTAACTGCAATTTTGCTCCTGTTAGTAATCATTACGTAAATAACTGTGTTTTCTGAAGGTCTTAAGTGGCCCTGTGAAAGGGTCATTCGATCCCAGAGGGGTTGTGACCCACAGGATGAGAAACACTGACCTAGAGTAAGTGATTGCCCAAACAGGGGCTAAGAAGGTATTTAACAAACCACTGATAATGAGCTCTTTTAGACATAGAGTTATCAACGGCAAGCCTGCATCTAAACTAAAGGTTCACAACACAACCACCGAGTCAACATGGAGTAAAAAAGAAAAAGGCGCAAACATCTTCTCAAAAGACCAATAAGCAGTGACATTTCTTTTTTGTTTCTTTGCCAACTGTCTGGTGGAAATCTGCTTCCTCTTTTCCAGGGCAATAACTACTTTCAGGGATTGCTGAAACTTCTTCTTCTTTTTTTTTTTTTTTTTTTGAAACAGAATCTCATGTAGCCCAGGATGGCCTTGAATTTACTAGGTAGCTGAGGATAACCTTAAACTTCTGATTCTCCTACTCTGGAATCTTGAGTGCTGGGGCAACCCCCACCACCACCACCACATCCTCTAACCTCTCAATTGGGGGTGGTGAAGTAGACACTTACCCAACCGAGCTACACCCCCAGCTTCAGATACTTTTTTTAGTGATGTAAACACATTACAATATCTAGACTAAAGTTTGAGCTCTACTGAATCTGTGTGCCACCTACATAGAACAACCTCTGGTTTTTCTAGGTTGAGCGGTAGGCAGTTCAGGAGGCTGGCTGCTCTTCCAGAAGACAGAGCCAGAGTGCTATGCCTCTCTCTGAGTTCATCAAAATAACAAACTCTGCAATTACCCAGAGCCCCTTTCCAGGTGAGTCTATGAAAATAATATAGATATGCATCCTGAATCTTTGGCAAAATAAAGCATCAAAGATACACCTAACTTATGTTCCCATTCAACACAAGTCCAAAAACGCCAACCAGGATCTGAGACAGCACCGAATACCGTGAAGTTACTGTGTAGTGACACACCATGTAACAAATCATTTCTTCGCAATTTCATTATGGTGGCTGGTAATTTTCTAGAAACTGAACTCTATTAATTCTTCTGAACTTTCAAACAACGAGTTCAGCAAATAATAGTCAAAAGGCAAGCTATAAGACTTGTAGTGATACCAATACATTCCTGTTATTACTTGCTGGGTATTTCTTTTAAGTCCTAATTCATTTTTAAGTTACAGAAACAGTTTTAACACTGACTCACAGACTAAACTGAGACAATACCAGAGACCCTTTGACCCACAACGTTTTCTGCAGCTTCATTAGATTCAAGACTATAGAGGAAAGAACTCAATACACAAACAAAAACATCCCCAGTTTTACAACAATGTGACTTTGAGTACTTCAAACCTAGGGATTAAATAGCCAAAAACTGTAGGCTCCTTCAAATTCCTCCTCTTCTGGGTGAGACTAGCTAGACCCACAGAATCGTGAGGCCACAGGAACTGACAATCCCACAAACATTCGCACACACTGCTGACCAGCGCTGACGGGAATACCCTTCCACCTCATTTAGTACCGTTATCTAAACTATCATTTCTTAAAAAATATTATTAAAAAAGCAGAACCCACTGGAGATTATAAGGCCCAGTGCTTGTCTTCCTATAAAGCCAGCTGTATCTTGGAGGAGAAGCACGCAGGTCTAAAGAGTAGGCGCCACCGTTCATTAAGTTTTAATTGGAAAAAGCGGGGTGGGGGGGAACAACAACGCTACCAGCTTATACAAGAGAAAAACAGTATGTTGTTGAGAAGGAATGAATTGCAACTAGAGTTTCTTTTTCTTTTAAAAAAGCACTACGTCTCATTTTAGTAACCATGTGGTTGTTAGAACTCTGTATTCTCTCCAGTTTCACACACTCATCTTGTGAATTTTTTTTTAAAATAAATCCCCTATGCATTCCGCCTCAATGTCTGCGTTTAGGCGAACTTAAAACAGTAACCTGCTAGTTACCTAAGGCTAACGAATGTCTCCTGAGGTGTCATTTTAAAAGCTTTCAGTGAAACACTTTAACTAGCCCCCCCCCAAAAAAAACCCACCAAAACCAAAACCAAAACCAAACAAACCAACCAACCTCTAACAACCCAAGAAGGAAAACGACCTTAGGCTTGACCTTTACCACAGACACAACCGAGGCAAAGGAGAGCCACCCAGCACCGTTCCGCGGCGTGGGTCTCCCCGCCCCTCCCCCCAAAGACAGCCGCCCGAAGCGAACCGGACAAGCCGAGCACGAGTTCCAGTTTTCCGCATTCTGCAACCCGAGGGCTCGGAGGCGCCGCCAGGCCCAAGGCCAGCGCCCCCAGCCTTCACCCTAGAACCCCATCTTCTCCCCGTGCGGCCCAAACCCAACTGCGGGCAGGCGTCGGGGAGGGAGGCAGGCCGGGTCGTGTGCTCAGATCCCCGGCGTGGGGCAGGACACCTTTGGCGCTCGCGATCAAATCGGAGCAATGGGTGTACGGCGGAAGGGATCCCTCCCCAGCTCCCGGGAGACAAAGGCGACCCGCCGGGGACCACCCCGCCCGGCCCAGGCTCACCCTGGTGATTGAACAGCCTCCAGATCCGGGTGAAGAGAATTCCCATCCTCGGGCAGCCGAAGCCCTCCAGCCGCCCGGGCTCAGGCTGCGGGGCAGAAGGACGCGCCGAGGCCTCCGCCACTGCTCCCGCGCCCTCCGCGCGCCCGCTTCC